AGAGACTCTTCTTTTACTAGGTCTACCAAAGATAAATCATTTTTTTTGTAAAAAGGAAGGGATGAGTTGGAGGGGAGGCCAAGGCTCAGAATTTGTAACCAAGGGTCTCAAGAAAACTTCCTCAGGGAGCAGGACTGAGCCCTAATTGGGGTGGATGGTGTCTAATACTTGTAAGTCTTTTTCAAAAAAAGAACATTAAAACACAGTTATCTAAGGCCAAGTGCAGTGGCTTACACCTATACTCCCAGCTCTTGAGAGACTAAGACAGGAGGTTTGCTTGAGCCCAGGATTTCAAGTCCAGCCCCAGCAACATTATAAGACACACACCCCCCCCCATAAAAAGAAAAAGAAATCAAAGTCTGGGGGGATGAGGCTTTGGGAGTCTTGGAGAGAGGAGTATGTGTTGCAGGTGGAAGGGATGTGAGCTGTTGTGACCCAACAGAGGGTAGACCGTTGGCTCCAATAATTCACATCCCTCCCACATGCAAAATACATCCACGTCTCTTAAGATCCCCCAAACTGCATCCCATTAGACTTTGACTATATTTCCCCCAAATGGTAACAGTACCTCTTATCACATAAACTCATCTTATCATGTGCCTTGTCACTGTGCTTATGGAATAATGGAGTCTGTGTTCCCTCTCTTTGAATCTCTTGGGCCTTTATAATGCCTTAACCAGCAGAATGAAGCTGAAGTGATGAGATAGGACTTCTGAAGCTGTATTTGGCAAAATGTCGCACACTTCTGCATTGCTTTGTTGAAATGCCACTATTTTGCTGTTAGACTAAGCAGTCCAAGAGAAGCTAAGGGCGAAAAGGAGCCCAGGCACCTCAGTCACAGCCCTGGCTGAGCTCTAAACTGTCAGATGTGGTGTGCTGGCCGCCCAGGTGAACCATTTTTAAAAAGGAGTCTTCAGCCCCCTTCAAAATAGCCCATTAATGCCACAAAAAGCAGAGACAAACTTGCAGATATACGAGTAAAAGAAATGATTCACGTTATTTCAAGCTACTCAGTTTTGGGTGCTTTGCTGTACAGTGACAGAGACTTAAAACACACCCTCCAGGTGATCTCATCTGTTTCTTGCATTTACTACCCAATTCTTTTTTTATTTTTTAGAGACAGAGTCTTACTTTAAGCCTTTGGGAGAGTGCCATGATGTCACAGCTCACAGCAACCTCCAACTCCTGGGTGTAGGCGATTCTCTTGCCTCAGCCTCCTGAGTAGCTGGGACCAAAGGCACCTGCCACAACGCCTGGCTACTTTTTGTTGCAGTTTGGCTGGGGCCGTGTTAGAACCCGCCACTCTGGGTATATGGGCTGGCGCCCTACCCACTGAGCCACAGGCACTACCCTACTACCTGAGTCTCTAATCTGAGTTTTCAGGCCTTGCGTTTCTTTGGAGCTCCATTCCCATATGTCTAACAACCACTTAGATGTATCTCTCCTTAAGCTCAACACAGCCGACATGAAGGTGCTCTTCTTCAGCACGTTCTTTTTCCATGTTACTGGTTATTTTACCATCTATTCATTTATGACAAAATCTGGGGCAACAGCCTCAGTTCCTGCATCTCCCCACGTCTGATTTTACCTCTTAAATCTATTTTGAAGACTGACAACAGTGTTTTGTAAACACATACACAATCATATTACAACTCTTAAAATTCATAAGTGGTTTCACTTTATTTACACAATAAAGTCTTTCTGTGATTTTCAGTAATCTGGCCCTTTACCGGACCCCTAGCCCTGCCTCACCTTTTCACTTTATAATACTGAGTTACAATAATTCTCCAAATACACAAGGAAGAAGCCAGGCTTTTCCACTCCTTCAGGCCATTCCACTCATCTAGGTTTGCAGCAGAGTTCAGCTCCTCAGAGCCCCACGTTCTCCCTGGCTGTTGGCCAGAGGCCGCTCTCCACCCCGGAGGCTGCTGCCTTGCTTTGCCCCGGGGACTTCTCACAGCAGGGCAGCTTGCTCCTTCAAAGCCAGCAGGAACATTTAACTTGTGTGCAGTAACAGCCTCTTTCATACCATAACTAATCCAGGGAATGGCTACCCCATGGGTCCTACCCACACTCCAGGGGATTACACAAGACCTATTCACCCGTGGGCAGGAATCTTCAGGGACAATTTAGGATTCTGTCTAAGATAGGTAATATCTTAGATATGGGATCTGTCTGGAAACTTTTAGGGTACACGTTGTCTTCAAGCCTCAGCAATGAGAAGGTTTACCAGAATACATCTCTGTGTTTATCTGCTTTTATCCCCTGTATTGGATCCGCTCAGTGGGTTCTTTAATCTGGCAGCTCTTTCGGTTGTGGAGAATCTTGTGTTTGTTTCAGTGATGGTGTCTTTCTTCCTATCTTCTTCTCTCTGTGACTCCTGTTATTTGTGCGTTAGATCTCTTGAGCTAGTCCTTCAGTGATACTACCTTTTCTGTCCTGTCTTCCATCGGTCTTGGGTCTGCTTTTGGAGAGGTTTATCTGACTTTAGTTTTCGTTCTTCGCAGATGTGGTGCCTTTCTCTTCCCTTGAGGTTCTCAGTGGTGGTTTCTGAACCTTCCGTCTTCCTGCATGGTCTGTTTCCTCCGTGTGGTTTATTTTTCCATTTGTCCTGGTCTGTCTTTCCTGTTAGAGGCTTTGCTTAGGTGTTTGTTAATCCTTGGATATCTGTTCATGATTCAGAATTTGAAATCAGAAAGCAGGCTGGAAATTCTGAGAATTTCCAGAATTGTTAACTCAGAGCTCCATACAGTGGTGGGCCTGGGCTGGGTTTTGCTGAGCCCCGATGTTAACATCTTTAGGCTTTTGGAGATTACTCAGGTTGCCCAGAAAAGGATCTTCCAGTCTTCTGTTTGAGGACTAAGGTCTGGCTTTTAGCATTCTGGTAACTGAGTGAGGAGGAGTCTGCTGGGACACGTCAACATTTGGATACTTAAAATCCCTGATTTGAGCACAGCCTCAGCTGCCCCTCACGTCCTTGTCCTCTTGCATTTCTGCCTGGGTGGGGAGGGGCAGTTGCTTGTGCAGCCCAGGGAAACTGCTTCTCAAGAACTTGACTTACTCCCCTTTATGTTACTATTAGAGCCTTCCTGCCCCTTTACCTCCAATACATTTCACCCGTTTCCTGACGTTCCTGAGCTCAGATCTTGCAGTTAAAATTGAGTTATATCTTAGTTTTCCTTCTGATGGCCTAGGATTTTGCTTTGTACAGTCTCCTAAGTCAGTTATTATTTTGTTCTCTGGCTTCTAAAATTTTGCTACCTTTTCTCTTATCCTTTCTTCACATACATACAAAACTCATCCATTAAAATTCTCCTGCTGTGGTTTTCCCGGGGTTTCTGGAGGCAGTGAAACGAGATGTGTGTGTTCAATCTGCTGTCGTAACTCAGACGTCCCTCATTGTTTTGTGACATGGTGTTTATTTATTTATTTATTTTGGCTTTTCCTTTATTAAATAGTCACATAAGTCAATTATGAAAATATGATTATTTTAGGAGAAGACACCAGCAAAGAACATAAAGTAAAAATACTAGTCATAGAATAGTTATAAAATAAGAATTCCACATCACTGATAATTAAAGAAATAAAACAATAGGCAGCACGTAAAGTTATCCACTACGTGTGTGTTTATAAAATGTCATGTAAGATAATGCAGTATGGGCAAGACTGCGCGGGAAGAGATGCCTGTGTTGGGTAAGGGTGAGCAGAGGCAGGTACATACTTTTTATGGAAGGCGGAGTAAGAAGGTAAGTTGTGGGAAATTCTCTTTTAGCAATTTATCTGAAAACTGTTAGCATTTTAAAAACGTTGTGTAAGAATGTTCATTATTATGCTGTTTTATATCATAAAAAATGAAAGAATAATATAAACTTTTGCTTTAAAAATTACATGCGATTGTCTACAATGTGGCCATTGTAAGGAATCCATTGACAAAGTGGATATCCGTGAGGATAAGAGAGGTCTAGGATGTATATATATATACACACAAACACATGTGTAAATTGATTTAAATACAAAGAGCATATTAAAAATAAATATGTAGCAAAACATTTAAGAGGAACTAATTTCTTGTGTCTATATTAAGTTAAATGTCTATATAAAGCATCTGTGTCTTTCAATAAGTGTAAACTTTACTGCAATTATATTTGAGGAACGGGATGCTAGATGATTTTGGTTTGGGGCAACTATATGTTGTGCACACTAAACACCACATAGCAAATGAAATACAAGGAGAGAGAACAGAAAAATCAAAACTGGTTAACTGAAAGGAAAGTAAATATTGTGTATACTTCCAGGGGAGAAACTTAATGTTTTTGTGTGATTTAAATATCGTGTATTTAAATTGGGAGACAAAATTTAGAAGCGGCATCATAACAGAAGGGAGTAGAGCTTTTCTTTCTTTCTTTTTAAAAATCATACAGTGTACATTCATGAAAGTGTGCCATTAAATAGCTTAACACAGTGACCTCTATAGTGTACAAAATAGAAACGTTTCAAAACTTTAGAGAGAAAAATAATGCAAAGTGTTTAAGTATTGGAAAATTTAAACTATTAGCGCATTCATTAAAGGTGCTTATTAGATAATTAAAATGTTTACTTAAACTTTTATGTGACATGGCATTTATTATATGTTAAGTTCTTATATGAGAGTGTTTGTTCCTTAGTTATCTGTTTCATTTCCTTTGAAATATTTGTCTCGACAAGGAGCACAGTGTTTTATTTACTTTTTTTTGGTTTGTTAATTTATAAGTTCATTATTACTTATTTTGATGATTTTATGTTTTAACGCCTTATAAAATTTGTTAGCTTTATAATGCTCAAGCTATGTAGGATGCGGGGAACATTAAACTTAGGAAATTAAGAGATCATTTCTGTTAATGTTGAATTTATGTCACAGACTTGTTTTTTACTTGTGGCTTTATTAATAATAATAATGAGAGTTTAAATCAAAATGTTGGAATATTATAATCACACAAGCCTTTTTTGTTTTTTAAATGAAGACTGAAGTTACTGAAGATCCTCAGCAAGTTTCAACTGTCCATCTCCAGCTGGGGTTGCCGCTGGTTTTTATTGTTGGCCGGCAAGCTACGTATGAAGCGGACAGAACAACTGCAGAATGGGTCGCGCGGCGTCTTCTGGGAAAAGCAGGAGTTCTGCTCTTGTTAAGGTATCTTAAACATTCAGGATTCACTATCTTTAGAAAAATATTAGTAATCTTCACGTTTTAAAATGTGGTAATTTAATCATATGAACTCAAAATCCTGATAAGATTCCTATACAGTCAGAGCCAGTTGCTAAGCTAAAGTCAGTATGTTAATGGTAATCTTGATGAGAATTTGGAACTTTAAACCTTAAATGAAGATGCAGATTAACATGGAGACTAGAAAATCTGATTGATATTTACGCATAAAATTTTCAGACTAACTAAACCGTAATCTTTTTTTTTGTAAACATTTTTTAGTATAAGAATTTATAGTTTTATTTTAGATTTACATCTGGATAACTATAATTCTTCAGTGTAAAACATTTATTTCCATTTTGAAAAGGGATTCTTTGGAAGTGAACATTCCTCAGCACGCTAACGTGGTCCTCAAGAGAGCAGACAAGGTCAGTTGTTCTCTGTATTGGTCTACAGTGTCTGTGTACTTGAAGTCGATACATGTGGCCCTAAAGTAATACATGTTTATTATAGAAAAAATCTGTAAGTTACTCACAGATAGTTGCTGTGAACATCTCGGTGTTCCTTTCACGTGTCAGTCTGTCTCCTTCCTCTGTGTGTTGTTCATGTGTAGGGCACATAGATGTAAACATACACATGTGAAGGGAATCGGACTCATACTGTACATCCCACTTTGCACCTTAAATTATATTTAATTATTTGCCTTGTGATATAATGCCTGCCTTGGTGCACTGTTTTGAACGTCACTGATTTTTTGGCCTTTCACAAAATTTCTGAAAGTAAAATTGGTCAAAGGAAATGGAAATGTTTAGGCTTAAAGTACCTTGTCACATTGCCCTCCAGAAAGGTTATACTTTTATCTGCAGGGTTTGGAATTCCTTGTCTCTCATTTCTTTGCCAATACTGAGAACTAGCATCTTTTTAAACTTTAATTTTTATTTCAAAAATTATGGAGAACAAACATTTTGGTTACATAGAGTGCTTTTGTATCATTTGAGTTGAAGTTGCAAGTGTGCCCATCACCCAGACAGTGCCCACTGGGTGTGAATTTACCCATCTCTTCCCTTCTACCCCATTGGAATTTGATGAGTGTTATTTCCATATGTGCTCATCAGTGTCAGTTAGTTCCAATTTAATAGCATGTGTACATGTGTTTGTTTAGAAGAACGGCCTCCACTTCCACCCAGGTTGTTACAAAAGGCATTAGTCCACCCTTTCTTTGTGGCTGAGTAGTACTCGATGGTATACATGTACCACATTCTGTTAATCCACTCACATGTTGATGGCCACTTGGGCTGTTTCCACATCTTTGCAGTCGTGAATTGTGCTGCTGTAAACATTCAAGTGTAAAGTGTCTTTCTTCTCCCTGGGTAAATACCCAGGAGAGGGATTGCTGGATTGAATGGTAGTTCTACTTTTAGTTCCGTGAGGAACCTCCTTGCCATTTTCCACAGAGGCTGTACTAGTCTGCAGTCCCACCAACAGTGCGTAGACAAGCGTTCCTTTTTCTCTGCGTCCACAGCAGCATTTGTTGTTTGGGGACTTCTTGATAAAAGCTGTTCTCACTGGAGTTAGATGATACCTCATTGTGTTTTTGATTTGCATTTCCCCAGTGATGAGAGATGTTGAGCATTTTTTCCTGTGTTGTTGGCCATTAGTCTATCTTCTTCTGCAAAGCTTCCACTCACATCTTTGCCTACTTTTCAAAGGGGTTGTTTGGTTTTTTTCTTGCTGATTAGCTTGAGTTCTTTGTAGATTCTGGTTATCAGTCCTTTATTGGATGTATAGCATGCAAATATTT